CGTTCTTCTTCTTCTTCTTCTTCTTCTTCTTCTTCTTCTTCTTCTTCTTCTTCTTCTTCTTCTTCTTCTTCTTCTTCTACTTCTTCTTCTTCTTTTTCTTCTTCTGCTCTCTCTGTCTCTCCCTCTCTTAAATCTTGTACATGGTGGGTTTTTTAATGCATCGATTAAAAGGCAGTTTCGTGTTAGAAGTTGCAACTTTAAAAAAAGCCAAATTGCGCCAGGCAGGATGAGACACGCCCGTTCCTTGTTCGGGAGTATAAAAAAACTAATTGCATAGAACCTCTTTGATTGCATATTTTCACAGCACGCTTCTCCATAGCATTAATTATTTTACTCAGTAGCTTTTCGCTATAAGTTGTATGGTGAGGTCAGGCTCAAAATATGGAGAGTGCAGCCTGCATTCAAAAATGACACAACTAGATCTATCGACTTTTGAGAGTTTGTTTCAGTGCAGTGAATAATGATCTTGGCCTAGCCCACCCTGGTTTTAATGCATCGAATGAGGTAGGGAATGTATTATCATAGATTGGGTGAGATGCTGTCTACCAGTTTTCTCAAATAATTTTAATGAAGCAAAGAAATATATGTGGAGGCATTAGCCCACTCCGTATAAGATACATCTACTCCTAAAGACAATGGTGTTACCTTAAAATTACAAAGTTCTATCTGACTTTTTAAAACCAAGATCAAAAACCAAATATTCTATCTGCTCTATCAAATCGTAAGATTATTCGGAGCCGTTATCAAGATATTCAAACAATTGCTTTTTAAAAGCGCGACATGTTGTAGAACTCAAAATCTTTAAAGTCAAATTTCTCAAAACTAAAAAGTATTGAGCTTATAGAACCTTATAATTCACGGGCAGCGAAGGATTAAGAATTAAGATAACGAAAAAGCACAATGTGCATTTAAGATTAGTTTCTTCGGGACGAGTCGTCAAGCAGGTCAACCCATAAGTCGTGGTACTTATCATTCTCGATAAACGATCCAGCTGACAACAATTCATGAGATAACAGTGTGCTAAGCAGGGTACGGTCAACTAAAATCAGCTAAAGCGCACAGACATTACGAAGAGATTAAGTATACGGATGCAAACACAACAACACAACTTCCATACCACCAACATTTGTATCTCTATCGGTTCCCCTCTTCCTACTCGTCTTGGTCTAGTAATTTTGGTTCTAATACTGACAATGTCACCACCATAGTATAAGACTGCGTGCAAACTTTCGGAACCTTCGGTGACACTGTAAGGATGACTCCACCAGGGAGCGTGACAGAGGATGCCCACCTCGTGACTCGAAAAAGCAGAAAATGTAGAACTAACTTGATCTAAACAATTAACTACTAACCAGTTGTTGTAACCATCTCTTGTTGGGGCTACGGCAGCACTTAGATGTGTAACTGACCAATAAACGTTATTAAAGTGAAGTGACATATTTATTTATTCATTCATTCATTCCCTTATTTATATTTAAAACATTCTCCTGTTTGATTACTCTAAGACTAATAGCTAATTTCAAAATCCACAATGCTGCACATTTTGTTGTAACTACTAAACATAGAAGTACCAGATGATACAATTGGGCAGGATTTAAAAAAAAAAAATTTCTTGAAGGCCCTCTACGTTGTACCACCACCTCTATAGTATTATTCTACAGGAAACAATCTGGTCTCACTTAATCTTTCCGCTATACTTTTATTTTCATTATACCTATTTCCATCTTTTGGGATTCTTGTGTGACCCATTAAAAGAAAGCCGATTGATCATCTCTGTGTTCGTCTAGTAATCCGAGAAAGAAGGCATGTACAGAATGGTCACATACATTGTCCTCAGCCATTAGTAGACCCCCCAAAAAATATATCAATTGAGGCTGAGCCAGAAACACGTACACCTTTTCTCGGAAGACCAGCTATACGATTTCATCTTCTTCTTCTTCTTCTTCTTCTTCTTCTTCTTCTTCTTCTTCTTCTTCTTCTTCTTCTTCTTCTTCTTCTTCTTCTTCTTCTTCTTCTTCTTCT